AAAGTAAGTATCAATTAAAGTAAGTATCAATTAAATTAAGTATCAATGAAAGTAAATAACAATTAAAGTAAATATCAAGCAAAGTAAGTATCAATTAAAGTAAGTAACAAAGGAGTTTGATAATATGTATTAAGAAAAAGAAAAAATCGTTAATATTAAATAGCAAATCGATATAATTTATTAACAAAAATAAAGTATAGTTATAATATAAATATTTGCACAGTCAAGCTTCAATCATGTTTGGCATTTGAAATGACTGGAGAAGAGAAATAATTGGATTTGCAAGTCCAATTGTTTTCTGTATTGTTTCTCTACTTGCCCACAAAAAGGGATAGTTAAGGAGAAGCAAATTAAATGTAGAATCTTCAGTAATTTTATAAGCAGTCCAAAATTTATCATTTTTTAATTTTTGAATATTTATTGTCGTTTCGATGTCGTCAATGCTTGATTTGATGATTCTGTGACGGGTCAAAAAGTGAGAGAAGGACGATCGGGGATAATTGATATAGCGCGATAATTGGTATCGTCGAATAAGTATATGCTCTGCGTCAACAATTACTATTCCTATATGGAATAATAATGAAACAGGCTGTTCAGCGTTCTCGTTAATATAATGAAATAAATATTTAAAATCTCGCATAATGCTTCGCTTTCGTGGATTGCGATGACTAAGCATGACACCAGAAATTGTAGAAAGAAGAATTTGGTCGTTTGAAAGGTATTTTTCACTCTTTTTCATTTCGTAAATATCTTTGATCCTATTTTTCATATAACATGTCACATTTTAGTCAGATGGAAGTTCATCTGTAAAGCATAGCAGCATATTTCGATTCAATTTTAGAAAGTAAGGCTTTTGTATCATTTGCAGAAAGTTTACAATTGAGACCAGTCTTCACTAAATTAATTATATGTTTCTGTTTATATTTGGTCGGTGCCACGTCGATAAAATGAGAAAATTCGTTCATTTGATAAAAGTATGCATTTACATATTCTAAAACATTTGTTGTATCAGCATCCATCTTGGATATACTCCTGAAAAACGAGGAAATCATTCTAGCATCGGATGCCATTAAGCTGCGCCCAAAGCCATTACAATTTCTAACAGTGGCAAAAGATGAAATAAGTACATAAGATATATAAGACCATGTTCCATACCATATGTCATTCATTATAGATCTTTTTAGCTGTAAAGCTAATAAAGTTTTATCTAGGACTTCAAATGCCTTCTTTGCTATGAAAACAAATTGATGATATTCAATTGTAACTTCATTTAAAGCCCAACTTGAAGAAAATATCTGATATTTTAAGTTTTTAAGAACAATAAAACTCTTAATTATTACTGCCGAAAAGTTCTTTCGAAAATTAGGTAGTACTCCATCGACTAAACTTGCATAAAACTTATTAACTTTATCTAAGCAAGCACCTTTTGAAGCTCTTTTTATTAAATTTTCTCGAATTCCTTGAAGATACCACATCAAAAGTGACAATCCATCTGTTGCTGTGATCATTTGCATGAGCTGCGCTTCATTTCGTTCATAAGATTTCTGTTCAGGCAGACTGACTCCATTTGGTATGAGTTTAAATGCATTCCTGCATCCTTCCAAGAAATTGGAATCAAAAAGATATGCAATTTTCCTGTTTAATTCATTTCCTTCGATTGCATTAAGAGGGTATGAAAATGAATTCATTACACATGCAACATAATAAGTGGAAACTTGAACAATTAAATTAAAACAAGCAGTGGCATCAAGTTCAAGTGATAAACAAATAAGTGAATGAATAACTCTAACCGTTGTTATTGAAGATGATGAAGCAAAAGCGTCAAATAAATTGTCTGATTTAAAGACAACTTCATTAGTTGATGGCATTGTTTGAATAAGTGATAAGAAATCATTATCAGTATGAGTAGGTACCCATGAATCTGACAAAACTGCTTGCTTAATAGATGAGTTACTAGCGGATGAATATTTCGACATAAAATCAGCAGCAGTAATTTTAATCCAATCAGTTAAACCATTACATTTAATAAATGTATTAAATTCTTTAAGTGCTCTTGTTAATCGAATGAATGAAAGTGCGTCAAGATTTGTGCAATTTAAGCGACTTAAAAATTGAAGAACATTGGATTCAGCAACATGAGTTAATTGGGAATAACTTGTTTTTAATCCTTCACTCAATTTCATAATTTTTTCATGCATTTCCTTATCAGGTGGCAACCTTTCAAGTAAAACTACGTCAATGTCAATTGGTAGCTCGCTTACAAAGCTTCCAAATGTTTGATGTGTTTGATGAAATTCATTAAATTGTTTAAAATTCGAAATAATAGTACAGCTGTTTTCCATAAATTTAAACAAAGTTTGCAAATCGTTGCTTTTTGATTCAAAATAAGCGACAGATCTTGAACGGATTTGCTTAGAACATGATTCAAAAAGAACACGGGCTATTGGTGGATCATCAGAAAGAAGACAATAAGCAACAACAATGACACAATATTTGTCAACAATGAAATTTTCAGTGTGCTCTTTTAATTGATGATCAAATTTACTCATAAGTTGAGGAGTGAATGCGTAAATATCATTCAATATATTTTTTATGCATTTTACTTTTTTTAATTCGCCAATTGTAATTTCAATTGGGACAGGTGACACATTTGTTGGTAAATTTTTGAATGAGAATCCAACAAATGAATCAAAAAGGCTTAAGTTGTATATAGATTTTTCTTTGAATAATAAATATTGAGTTTGCAAAAGTGTATAAGTTGCCCAAACAAGATTCGACGAATTAATAGCATCATAAAACAATGTTAAATAACGAACAAAATGAAGAACAGTTAAAGCTTTTGTGTCTCGTCTCAAATCACGAATACTTGTTAAAATATTCAAAATTGGATTTAATGTCTGACTTCGAACAGTTGAAACTTGATCTCGAATTGAATGAATAAAGTCAGATGATTCAACTATGTTATCATTGAGCGATAAAAATGTATCAGTTGCGTCAAAAATTTGTTGTTGTGATGATAAAACGTCATTTGTTAAATGTTCTGTAACGACTGTAATGCTACTTTCTGCTAATTCTATTTTTTGCGCAAGAGAAGCTTCAAAAGATTCATCAAATATTGGAGGGAGGTCGGATAGGATTGATAAAATGCATGATTCTGGCGATTGTGCTTCAAAAAAAATACGAGGAACATTTTCGATGCTCATGGGAGGTGTTTTTTCTGGAATAGATTCATCTTCATCAGTTTCTTTCTTCATGACGAGGGATAGGTAGTTGGAAAGAATTCGTAAACGTTCAAAGGTCAAAATAAGCCAATTTATTTAGCCATAATAATGAGTAAACCAATCTCATAACTTCATGAATTAATATTACTTGAAAATTTGATAAACGACTTGTCTTGAATATGAAATCAAAATTAGATAAAATTTCTTGAAGTCTAATATCATTAATATTACTATAAACCATCTGTTGATTCGAATCTTTTATTTCTATATAAAAAAGATTCAAATCCAGCGTTTTTACTGTTAAATTAGTTCACAAGAACTTTTGATGACATCGAAGAAAGAGGAAATTTACCATCTAATGAAGTTTGAACACAAATAAAAAAAACTCGCTGGCCGGGAATCGAACCCGGGTCACAGGAACGACAATCCTACATGATACCATTACACTACCAGCGAACTGAATTTCACAAAATATAACTATTAAGTAAACTATCATATTTATGTGGTAGGTACAAATATTCGTCAACAGATGCAGGAAATGCCAATATTGTGCAGTTACCTAGCAAGCGTTTAGTAATAAAGAGGTTTAAACAACATTGTTGCATTATTTTTAAATGTTTGATGATTTTTCACTTCTAAATTAATGAAAAATGTGATCTCCTGAACGATGGCTATTCTAAAACTTTTGAGTCACCCAGAGAGGGTTACAAAAAAGCAAATTTAGTTATCGGAAATCTTTTAATATTTTGAAAATTAAATATTTAATATTAATTCTAAAAATAAAAAGCATCAAGAATAAGTAAATCTATATAAAATCATTTATAAATTATTTCATCAAAGCATCAAGAAACTCATTTGGTCTCATCATTGATGTGCATCCGTAAGTTATTTCTATGTTTCTCTGTCTACCAAGTTCACATAATCCATTAAATTCTGTGTAATTTCCAGGTCCAATCACAAACACGTAGACGTTTCCAATATTTTCATTTGGATTTGAAGAAGATGTTAATGGGTTAATTAATTGGAATCCTTCAATTGACTCTTCAAGGAGTCTTCGAGTTGTTTCAACAACAGGAAGCTTCTCTGCAAGAGCATTTGAATCAGATTGAGATCCAAAAGGACTAACAGAACGTAACATTGATGCAATTTTATAATCTTTTTTAAGATCGATTCGAAAACTATCAAAACGAATCAAAAAGTCCAATGATGCACCAACAGCATCTTGAACAATACTAATCTGGTCTTTCGAAAACACTTTACAAAGAAATGCAAAAGTAGCCAATCGAAGTTTATCTTTCGTGTCAGGTAAACTTCTCAGAAAGTCGATTAATTTGTGAACATCAACAGTTGATTGCAAAACAATGTCTTCTTCAAATTTAAATAGAGCGTCTGCTTTTTTCGCTTTAATTGTTTCTACAAGAGCATCTCCGACTTTTGTATGTGTATCAAGTGAGAGACGTTTATGTGATAATTCTGGGAGATTCTTTAATGCACTGTCCAAATCGTTGTCAATTGCGCCGTATTCTGCTTTAAATTGTTTGGCTTCTTTTCCAATTGCTTCTAAAACTGAGTCGAATGTTTTTGATTTATTTTCACACCAAAGTTTGTCGATATCAGTGTCTAAATCATGAAAGTTTCCATTGATTTTGACTTGGTTTTTATTGATACCAAACTGGTCATGGATTAATGCTTGATAAGTGCATGGATGATGTAATTGGCTAGCAAAGTCAATTGAACGATCAAGAATGATCAATAGTGGTGGTTTTGCATTAGGTGTTTCACTCCTGCGACTTCCCCAAAGTTCAAAATTCTGAGAAAGTGGCTTTATTACTTCTGCAAACGCTTGGGAAACTAAAGAAGCGGGATGGTTATCTTTTTTATACAAAATTCTTGGAATTTCACCTGCAGTGAGAAAAACCGAAGCTAAGCTACTTCCTATGGCTCGGCATGTTGTTTCTAACAGCTCATCAGTAGTTTTGAATCCAAATACAGATTCCATTGTATTGTCTTGTTCATAAAGTGTGAAAAGATTCGGATCAATTGATGAAAATTCAATGTATTGATCAAAAATTGCATGAATGCATTGTCCGTCGGAAAAGTGATTGACTTCCGATGCAAAATACTCCAAATCTTGGGAAGAAATTGGCGACAAAAAATTGATGTACATTTGGTCGTATAAAGGCGTGGCACAGTCTTGAGCGATAAGGCGAAGATTTTCAGGAGTGGGTTCGAGAAGATAGACAGCTGAAACATCTGGAATTGGTTCACGCTTTTGTTTGATGGATCCATAAAAAGTAACGCCAACTTCGAGCAATTTTGAGACTTTGAGAAGTGTCGATAAAATATTTAATCCCTTTTGATCGTAAATTAGAACTTTCCATCTTAACGAAGCTTGACGATCTGTTTCTAAGAGTGATTGGTTTAAGTTTAGAATTTGCTGGACAAGTGCACGATGTCTTGTTCTGAGCATTTTAGTTTTAACTGGTCAAATGCATGAGAAATCATATTTATCAGAAAAATTTAATATGGCATCTTGTTTTATTTCAATTATTTTTAAAGGCGATTGAGATGATTGAATGAGTTCACAAAAAATTGATCGTCGTTCCAATTTCAAGAGTTTTTAGATGCACGAAGCAAGATCCAAAGGAAATTCAGAACCGCATCGTATTCACTGAAGGTTAAATAGTTACCGAAAGCAAGGAAATTTTTGGATTGAGAAATAATTATTTTCCATCAATCTAACATAATGATTTTTGAAGTTCCTTCGATATTTTTCTATGCATGTTTATTATAGAAATATTATTTTAATTATAAAATGGAGGAAATAGTTCATTGAATTCAGGATATAATAAAAACAATTTAGATTATTCCCCTTAACGTATAGAAAAAATAATTTTCCCGATTCTTACATATGTCAGCTCTTTCGATTAGCGAATTAACATCACCAAAGCGATTAAGACCAGCTCCTTCTGCCCATTTAGCCGCAAGATGGTCACCATCAATTGGAGGACATTCCATTTCAACAAGTCGAAATCAGGACCAAGACGCCGATGCATTCAATGTCAGCAAAAAAATTGATGAAACAATGATCAATGTTTGTCAAATGATGGAAAACGTAAACGTATATTCAAAGAATGTTGGATTGACCGCAAAAGATATAACACCACCCAGATTTGTATCAAAAGACCAATACGATCATTCTCCTTTTGGTAAACAACTTATATTGTCAGATTATTCCAATTTTACATCACCTGTGAAATCAAAGTCGCCTATTGCTCGTAAAAATGATAATCCAAGAATAGCTTCAATTAGTTTTATGGAAAATATATCGGATTCTTTTGATGATGAAGATATTCAATAAATTGTTCAACTTTTCTTTTATTCGCCATTTTTTTCAAAAATATTTTAATTAAATGATTGAATTTTGTTGAACAATAAAATAAACTAGCGAGAAAAATAAATTGATTGTGATTTTTCATATATCTATAAATTTTTGTTTATTTTGTGAAATAATATGTACTAATATTTTCATTTCACACATATTCCCTATTTCGTATCATATTTCTCAATTATAACATTATTTAATAAAATTGGATTGAGATTCATCAAAAAAAATGTTCTTATTTTCTAATTTAATGATACGATTCATTTTTATATGAGTTTTAGTAATGATTGAATTTATTATAATCTTTGGATCCATCATGATTTCATGGCAGGAGACTTGAAAAAGTGTGAGATTTTGATTAAACGGTCTCCAAAATTTTGAAAATGACTGACAGGCCGAGCTCATCTATACGAACTCGAATGCAATCAAGACAATCTGAAGCAACTCGTCATTCACAACGATTATTGAGCAAAAACACAAATGTTGAAAGTGATTCTTCAAAAGTGAAACGTACACGAAGAGTGGCACGCTCTAGTGCTGCGAAAGAGAAAGTAGAAGATGAACTAACCCAAAATTCCAAAGATGAGGAATCAACTCAAAAAGCAGATATGTTTTCACAAAAGCACTCGAAGAAACGATTCAATGACCAGATAAATCAAAAGGAAACCAGTGTGAGATCAAGAAAATCAAGAAGATCAAATTCACCAGGGATGAATAATGCTACAACAGAAAATAATGCCATTGAAACATCATCTTTGGAAAACTTAGAGAAACCAACAAAACCATCATCTTTAAAAAAGAATCACACATCAAATAATCACAAAGAAAATAGTTCATTTGTTGAACAAAATGAAGAATCGCATGACTCAAAAATCCAAATTGATAAAAATGAAATCCTAAAGAATGAAGCCAAACGGGGGAAACCAAAAGAAATCAGCATTTTGGATGACTCTGATCATGATGATGAAAACCAAAAAGAACAAAATGAAGAAAATGAAAATCATAATGAAGAAGAACAAAATGAAGAAGAAGAAATTCAAAATGAAGAAAACGAAACTCAAAAAGAAGAAGTAAGAAAACCAAAAGAAAAGAAAAAAACTATCATTCGTCGAAGAAGCCGTAGAATTCAAGCAAAAAAAGCCTCAGCAAATTCCAATTCATCTTCTAATTCCAAATCAAATTCTCATTCTGAAATAGCATTAGATTTATCTACAAACTCATTAAATAAGAATTTGAAAATAAAAATGAAAAGAAATGAAGATGTGGATGTTAATAGCAATAAAAATATGATCAAACCCAATAATTATGAAAATATTCCAAAGTCAGGAGATAAATTGCATGTATCAAACGGCGAAAATTCAGAAAAATCAACTAATACTGTAGGTGTTGCAACTAGTTCTCGTTCGAAACGAAAGAAACAACATAAAAATTCTCTTTCTGTGGAAATAGAAAAGCCTTTGCCACCTGTGCAGCCGATGATTCAGATTTCACCAAGAACGGTTCAACACAAACAGACAGTTCCTGATTATTTGATTCCTAAAGTTAAGGAATTACCACCAGATGAAGAATCTGATGAAGGTGCAAAGAAGAATTTGTTTTTATGGGCGATCGGAAATAGGAAGTTTTTTTATCAATCATGTCAATAATTTTGTATTCGAATAAATAAAAATTGTTTACAGTTTTCATCATTAATTTTGAATTAATTTTAAAATCATAGTAAATTATTTTCACCAAAGAGATGTAATTGTGATTGCATAGGTAAATCAACTCAATGGATCTAGATAAATTGAAATTCGGCAGGTAAGGAAATTAATCATAGTAAATAAATCATCGAAAATTAATCAGAGAAAATGAAGAAAAGAAAAATATATGTTATAATGCTGTGAATAGAAAATAATAGAGGAAAACATCGAAATCTATAAAATTAATAAAAATATAAAGTTATTTAATCAACGACAATTCATAATCTGTATGACCGAGTTTTAACCGCAAAATCAGGAAGCTTCTGCTTCGAATTAGTAACATTTTCTATTTTATATTCCTTCAAAATCCTTTTCACAATATCTTCGTA